TCCTCGGGGACAAGCGGAACAAGAACAATCGGTGAAGGGACAAGGAACTCAAAGAATGAGGTTAAGATTAGGACTCGGAAGTAAGATAGGGACAGAAGCCAAGTTCCAGCCTGTAAAAATAAAACCCTGACAGCTCTCAGAGCTGCAGTCTTTTACCCTGTCTGTGTCTGTGTGTCTTTTGTGTTCATTCTCTCCTACTCAATTCACAGGAACCGTAACATTTACAGTAAAAAAAGGTTGGAATATTAACGGATTATTAATATGCATTACAGAAATATGTACAAACTAAATAAAACATTTTTAAGAATTTTCTAAATTGTGTATAATGTAGATGTTGCTTTTATAATTAGAAGCAAAGACTTCTGCATCTACTGGCAATTTGGGGAGAAAATTGAAACGTTTCCTGACCAGGACTTTACAGTTCACGAATGGGTGCCTTGACACTCATTAGCATAATATAATTCTCAAATTAAGTCAGTGAGGTGTTTAGGGCAAAAATTATATTGCTGTTTTACAAACGAGGATGTTAGTTCATTGGGGTTAAGCGATTTGTCCAAAGTTCCAAGGTTATTTAGTGCCAAAATCCAGACTAGCACTAGATTTAGAAAAAGAGGAGAAGGGGAGATCACTGAAGGGCAGCTGGAGGATGGGAGAAACATGCATTCAGCCTTGGGCCTCATGATGGTGTGGATTCACATTAGATAAGAAACGTGAGTTTTCTGGATATTTCCTATTAGGCCTCTAAATTGAGGGGTAATTGGTTACACATCAATACATAACCAATATTTATGATTATCTTACCAATCAAATTTAGAAATGCTTACACTTCATTTCATTGTATTGACAAAATCATGTCAGAAACCTGAGGAAATTTTAAGATCTTTCTTGTCTACCTGCTTAATTCATAGATGAGTGAACTACTATGGACTACAACTGTGTAATTCAGTGGTGGAGGAGCAAATACTACACTTCAGTTCTCCTTATTCTCAATCCAAGACTCTTCACTTTGGGGAGTTGTTCATTGTGGCTCCCCCATTTTTGCTCTGGTGGTGGTAGGTATATGAGAGCTTATCTGTCACAGGTTCAATAGTACCACTAGACCTCACATTGCACCAAGATATTGTTACCAGGGTAAAAATAAAAGATTTGCTGAATAAGTCAGATGTATCTTGTCCACAGATAAGTATAAATATTTCACTAAAATGTTATTATGGCAATTTTGATCTGGAGTTTGAAGACTGTAGAAAATGCTTGTTTTAGTCAGCCTCCTTGAGAAATGTCACTTAAATGCTGCAGCATAGAGAAACCTCTTTAACATTAACAGAAAACAATTTATTTAAACTCTTTTCATGTAAATCCTCTTTTTCACATATCAAACACTACTCTCTTCTTTCTAAGTAGTAAGGAATTTAAGTTAATCTGCTTCACAGTTTTGCTGTGGCCAGATCTGGATTGGCTGTTTCTCTAATCCTCTATTTTGATAACACTGCACCAGCCACAGAGTTCTGAGAATTACCAAAGTTCCTGCCTTTATTAAAGTTTAACATGAAAATGAATGGTGGATGCCTTTCTCAAAACTCTGAACAAACTTTTACCTAATTAAGTAGCAGCAAATGAAACAGTTCTTCAATGGTACTTATGTTTGCAGTTACCCTGAAAGAAGAGTCAGCTCCCTGGAAAGAGTATCCTTAGGTTTGCTATCACTATAGGCATCCACGTAACATGAAGCTCCCCTATAGTCAGCCTGGGGAAATTCTCTTTGTTTTAAAGATCCTTTTATTTCCTTTTTCAGTTACACTGGGAACTCAAAGCTGAAGTACTCCACTGTACTGAGCTGGGGTAATAGGACATGGGGGCTAGCAGTGTCAGTTGATGATATTATAAAAATACCATTCAATGTTCTGCTGTTCTCTTCAGGATTTTTTTTTCTTCATTTTAGTGCCAGAAATGCAGGCTTCCCAATGATCTATAAAATGTAGCTTCCAAGGGACATTGCCTTTCATGTAACAGCTTTTCCTTAGTATTCCATGTAGTCTTTTCCTTGAATAGAATATCTGGTGCGAGACTAAACCCATGCAGGCCTACTTATAGTAAGGTTATCACTTTTCTTTCATCCTCATTTAAAAAAAAATCCTATGCTACATTAATCATTATAAAAAATTATTCTCCATTCATTGCCAGACTTTCTTGACTCTAAAGGACTAAGAATAGAAAAAAAGGGGTGCGGATGGGGAATGAATGGAAAAAATTAATCTGTAAATCACCATGAAGGTTCTTACTTTACATTCAATCTTTATAATAGAATTATCTAGAGGGAAGGTGTTGGCATGCTGTGTTATCAGTATAATCTGAACCCATTTTAGGTGCATAATAAATGCAAAATGAAAAAGTTATGATTAGAGATGTCCACCAACCTGGAGAATTGTTAGGAAGAGTTGTGAGGGCATAATTTCCCGCACTTATTTCATTGGTACAGAATCAGTATCCACTGTTGCTAAAAGGTTCTCTCTAAGAGCAATACCCTGACCACCAGAGTTCTTTCCAAAACTAGAAATTTAGAAGGAACAATGAGTTATTTTAGTTCTCTTCTTTACCTCCTTTTTATTTGTTTTGCTATAAACCTCAAAAGACCATATAAAACTATGTCTATGGGTCAGTTTAGAATTCTAGATAACTGAATACGTGGTTGGATGTATGACTAAATTATTGTCCGGTGGCGGTCAGTATCCAAAAGAATCACTGAAGCCCTATAAATCAATATGCTGATTCAGAAGAAGATGGGTAGAAAAACAGGAATCTTCATTTAAACAAGCTTCCCAGGTGATTCTGATGCCATTGGTCTGCAAATCAATTTGTGACCTATTGACCATTAAGGAAATGGCTGGCACAGTGATGCTGTTCGATACTTGACATGGATGAGATCATGGAATGTGTGCTGCCACTACATGTTATCAGAGCTTTAAACTGTCTGGCACCAGTTGAAAAATGGCACCACTGAAATGACACAGTCTTGCAAGATGGAAAACCTCAGTCACATACAGTCCTGAACTCATTACATTCACCGCTAAATCTTCAGGCAGGTTCCAGGGAAAGGAATAACTGAATCTTTTTAAAGAATTATTTACAGTCCTTTAAAATAAAAACATTGAGGCTATTCTACTTTTCTGGAGACTAGGATTTATTTTCTAGAGGAATGAACCCTAAATAATCCAGATTTGGACAGCATGCACAGAGGGGTATTGCAGCTGAGACTGGAAGATGAAGTGAACATCCTGCACTGATCAGTGGGTCTTCTAATTCCTTCCACATCATGTTCCCAGAAAGCCAACCCTCAAGTGTATATACACCTCCAAACAGAATACTGCAGGAACAATAAGAAAAACTGAACAGTCCCACAGAAAAGACCTACAGATGCTGCCATTTGGTGACCTTGCACTGAAAATGTCACTGAGTGACCTACATTTGATTCAAGAAGTATTTAATTTAATATCTAATGAATATCAGATACATCTAGATGCTTCTGATATTGTCAAAATCAAAACATATATAAGACTTACTTCAGACATAAAGATAATTAAAACAGATATACAAAAACTTCCTCTCATGGAGTTTGTGTTCTGTAAACGAGAGACAGACAAGAAAAAAGAAGTAAACGATAACTTTTAAAAATGTTGATAAATGTTCTGAGGGTGGGAGAAAAAACATAGTGAGGAATAGAAAGTGTCAGAGTTGCAATTTTAAATAATTCAGGGAAATTCTAACTGAGAAGGTGACTTTTGAGCAACGATTGGGGTCACGAAATATATTTTTGTATCCTACATATATCATATCATGAGTATATTCTCATATAACTAAATATTGACAATATTTTTAATACTCATATGACATAGGTACATTTCAAATAATGTTAATAAAACACATGTCCAGGTAATCACTGTTCACATAAAGAAATTAAACATTAACAGTAATTTAGAAATTTCCCAAGTGAGCTTCCAATATTACATACTCACTTCTCCTATTCATAACTAATTGTTAAGTTTTGTGATAATTATTCTTTTGCTTTTTTATTTAAGATAGCTATCATGTTACACAGAGAATATGTATGTTAAATGCCCTTGAACATTTGCAAAAATTGATTAAATAGAAGATGATAAAAAAATCTTAATACATTTCAGAAAGTTTTGGGAAGTCATAACATCCT